AGAGAGAGAGAGAGAGAGAGAGAGAGAGAGAGAGAGAGAGAGAGAGAGAGAGAGAGAGAGAGAGAGAGGTGAAGGTTACTGCGGTTTCCCTCTGCTTGTTTGCCGTCACTCATCGGAGGAAATGTGAAATTGTCATCAGAGAATGGCCAGCGAGAAAGAAAATCCTCCACCCTCAAATGAAGAATGAGCGCCCAATAATAATGTCTGTGATTAGTACCTGAGACAAGGAAAACAGTTCACGGAAGTCTCCCCGTACTTCCTACGTTCTGTAATCCAATCCCATGTCATGATGCCATTGAGTTGCATCATTTCATGTCGCATATATCATTCAAATCTTCTTGCCTTCTCCTGTGAGGCAGCGACCACCAACTTTGCAGCAGAAAGACCCTGCGACACATATCGCCAACTTTGCAGCAGAAAAACATTTATGCAGGCAACTAAGTACCCGCATCGCTGAGTCGGCAAGGCACATCGTCACAGTCGTGGTGTCTTTTGCACGGCAAGTATCTGCATCGCCGAGTCAGCAAGGCACATCATCACAGTCGGCGTGTCTTTTGCACGGCAAGTATCCGCATCGCTGAGTCAGCAAGGCACATCATCACAGTCGCGGTGTCTTTTGCACGACAAGTTTTGCACCAGACAGGTCGCGTCACAATCTTGGTGTCTTTTGCAGGGAAGCAGATGCAGCTTTTGCAGCAGAAAGACCACTCCATATCGCCAAATCGATGCGCGGTCCAGTGCAGAAATCTCCGCAGGCAAATATCTGCATTGCTGAGTCAGCAAGACATCCCCCCTCAGGTGCTGCTGCAGTTGTGGGAAATGCACCTCCCCTGGACAAATGCCCGCCAAATGAATTCGATTAATTAAATTAAACTTTAAATTTTAATGAAGTTAAATGAAATGGATTTTCTTGCAATGAAATCTCACAGCAACAGAACTTGTAAGAAACAGAAGAGTGATATAACGAATAGCTTCAGCAAAATCCACAGACTCCTCTTGTTAATGACCATAATCCAAGAAATGAACCCATAACCACACCCATCAGTGAAAACCATCTTTATTCCAATTTGTTTCCAAGAATTTGCAATTGTTCATTGATAAGATCCTTCCCACCATCTCTCTCTCTCTCTCTCTCTCTCTCTCTCTCTCTCTCTCTCTCTCTCTCTCTCTCTCTCTCTCTCTCTCACTTGCACGCGAGCACCCCTCCCCCCCTACACACCCACGCACCTGCATCGTGCATGCCATTTCCGTGCTCTTACATTTGTGGATAAGCCATGGACCCTATGGGACAATGGCGGTAGGGTTCTATCACCAAGCCGTAGAATATCACTTGGTATGGCTTGTCCATCAGGAACACTATTTCGTTGTGCACTTGCAAGCGCTACAGCCTCTGGAGAGCAATCCGGCTGAACCTCCTCCTTCCCCTATGCATGGCCAGGTAGTGTGCCCTCCCTGTGTAGATCGGATGGAGTCCACGACAGACAGTGAAGGAGCCTCTCCAGAGGACAGTGGCTGTGTCATCCTATTCTCTCGTCCCGCAGCTACAGGACAGTTAGCATGAACACAGTATATTCTCTGCTCCGAACACTATGGACTAGTATGAAAAGATGGTCACTGCTAGCCTCTACTGCGAAAATTGCGACCCTTCGTCTTGCACTCACCCCTTCCACCCCCTAATTACTTGCCCGGTATGCGGTCGTGGGCTTGACATGCCATATGCCTAAATAGCTGTGAACGTCAGCCTGCTTTCCTCCTGACATGTCAGCAACATGCCATGTGTCGCAATGTTTCCAGGAAGCTATCATAGGACGTATGTGCCTAACTCCCGATGCGATCATCCACCACACATCCTATCTTACCATGTCCCACGTGCAATCTTGCGCACACACCAGCTGCTTTTGGAGTAGAATCTCCTTCATCCCCTTTGCCAGACGAACGACAGATGCAGCAGCCTGAGGAGGGCCATAGACTACCATATGAACCACCTACAGAGCGCTGTACTGAAAGGTTATCACCACCAGGGCGAGCTGTTGCGGACTCAATCCTGCAGCAGCTAAACACCCTGGCTTTGGATCAATCCCTGGGGTCATCTGCCCATAGAGAAGGAATAAATACTTGGGAAACCTGCTCAATCCCGCTCTGTGATGACCCTCCTGAGATTGAGATAGCACGTGGTTCACATGCCTTGTGCGTGAGGATTATGCAGTGTTAGCCCATGCGAGTTTTTGTTTTCATACGTATGATGAGCTGCTTTGCTCTGTGTTGGTGTTGGGTGTGTGTACACTGCCTTGTCCGCGCTGGTTGTGAGTAGATGATGTGCCACTTTGCTATGTGTTGGATGTGTACACTGCCTTGTCTGCGCTCCGCTGCAGCCTTGCTACCGACCCGGCTTGCTTCACATGCTGTTCTTTGCAGCTGCTGTGTTCACTGCGTGGTGTGGCAGCGTAACATGTGCTGCCTTACGCTTCGCTGCACTGCTGCCTTGCTGCCCAACCGAAGCCCTTGCCTTCCACACTCTTTGCTTGTGTGCCATGTAGTGTGGCTGCTTTGTTGGTGTTGCCTTATGCTTTGCTGCACTGGTGCCATGCTGCTCGTCCGCTTTCCGCATCGTCCATGCAGTTAGCTTTGGAGCTGTGAAGGGTTGCTCCGGCAGCATCGCCTGGTGTGCTTCGCTGAGTTGTCTGAGTTGTTGCCTGCTGCTGTGTTCTGCTTGGGGATTGTTGGCCTTCAACAAGGGACAAAGGGTTCATGACCCAAACCGTCGATACGGGGATTCGGCAGATTGTCGAGGGTTCATCCTCCTGACGAGTCAGTGCAACTCGACGAAACAATCCCTCCACAGACAAACTAGAGAAACCCATCTCAGTTAAAGAACTACATGAAGCGCTAAAGGACCTAAAAAGACTAACAAAGCGTCGGGCAGAGATGGTCTTCCTAAGGAATTCTGGGAAGCAAGCTGGCACGCCCTGGGCCCTCTTCTCCAACGACTCCTCGGCAGTGCTTGGGAACATGAATCCCTAGGCCGGGGATCTAAGCACGGGAGTTGTAACCCTTTCTACAAGAAAGGGAACAACGAGGACATATGGAACTACTACAGACCCATCTCGCTTTTAAATGTGGCCTATAAAATCCTAGCAAAGCTCCTCGCCACCAGAATCGACCGCATCACAGGAAGCTGCTTCCACTTAGACCAGAACAACTTCATCTTGTGCCGCGACTCGTTCTCAACGACAACCTCATGACCCTCTGTGAGTCCACCAACTTAATCAGCCAAACAAGAATCACAGCAGCTATGCTGCTTTTTACGCTTTTTTTACTTTGAGAAGGCATATAACCACGTCAATTGGACGTCCTTCAGACCTACATATAACCAGGTCAATTGGGATTTCCTCAAGACCTGCATGGAGAAGACGAGTGTAGGCCCTAACTTCCATAAATGGGTGAGAGTCCTCTATAATGATGCCCAAGGCATAGTCCAAGTAAACAGCTTCCTCTCCAACCCTTACAGAATGACGAGGTTGGTGAGGCAGGGTGATCCAAAAAAAAAAAAAAAAAAAAAAAAACACGGTGATCCCGTACCAGCCCTAATCTCCCTTTTTGTCATGGAAGCCACTGGAGCCTTCTTCAAGCACTAGTACTTTTGTCGGTTCGGAAAATAGTGGGCCTCCGACCTTTCAGGAGGCCGAAACGAAACGACGTCTGCCGATCAGATTTATCAACGGCAGCCGTTGTCGGACCCGGCCTCCTAAAAGTTTGGGACTAGGCTAAAACTTGTCGAAGCCGGACGGCAAAGGTACCAGTGGTTTAAGAAAGAACATCTCCATAGAATAACTGGAAAGCGTAAAACAAAAGATGTCATGGGCAGACCTTTCCACTCCCATTTGCTTTCCGGGAATCAACTTGAGCACGAAAGGTTGTCACCCTACGCCGGCAGCCTCCTTGATGTCGTTAATATCAACAAAATGTGTAGCTGGCAGGGAGTACACACCTCACTGCTCGTAGAACCTTGGCTCTAAACAACTCAATGCTGTCCATGATGTCGTCTGCCACTTCCATCTGGTTTCCCAAGATGCAGGGTTGCGGCCTTCGTGCGGACCGGAAACCCAGATAAGCAACACTTCATACAGGGTTGCGGCCTTCATGGCACATTGTAACGCAGCATGAAGGAAAGGGAGGACTCGGAATCCGAGATCCTGCGGGCCAAATCAAAAGCCCTTCAAGTAAAATGGATAATCAGGCTGACTCTCCAAGGCAACCTCCAATTGGTACCATTGGCCTCCCTCAATCACATCATGGAGCTAGCGCCCCTTTCAGCTCCCCACCCAACATGTCAGGCCTCTTATGGATCTTCAATCAAGCGTGGCCCCTCCCATGAGATGGCAGAAACAAACTCCGTCAATGGGACCCAGAAGAGAAGGAGGATCGAGGGAATACAAAATCCTTGTGGGAGCAACTCATAACATAATAACATATGGAGAAAGATATTCCTAGAAAACAAGGTCGGCCCCAAAAGGAGGGATGAAGTTTTGAGACAAAAAAAAAAATATTCGGCAATCCTTGGATCAAGGACGAGAATGGCCATCTCGCTTTCTTCTCCCCAAATCTGACGCCAAATGTGGCAACGCCTATGGAATGAAACTACAAACACGTGGAGAGTGCAAAAGGAGCTAAGGACGACGCTGAAAGGCAGTCACATTCTGCAAGCTGACCACTCCTTGGCCATCGAAAGCGGGAATGACCGGGCTGCATCTGGACTGAAAGTTGCTTCAAATGCAGCTATAATAACCGGGTTCATAACCGCATGGAATGGCAACAACTACTTAAATCCAAACAGGTGAGACTGGGCAATAGCATACGATCAAGTCCCCATGAAGGGGCCTTCAAAGTAACCTGGCAATCCTGCGAGTTTCCTCAGCGAGCAATGTAGGGCTCCTTAGGGGCCTTCAACCTTCAAAGTAAACAACCTAAAAAGAATCAGGGTCATTGAAGGGGGTAGAATTTACAGGGTTTTACAAGCCAGATACCGAAATACGCTGCTTGAAAGTGGACGTGGTAGAATGGGCTCAAAGCACACCAAGCCGCCTCTCCTCCGTTGACCGACGCCAGACGTTCGCTGACTACACCCCCAGACCGGGCTAGATACTGAATGCCAAACCAACATCGGTGTCAAAGATGGAAAAAGGAAGAGGGCTCACTCTCAAACATAAGCATTAGCCCCACCTGTCCCCTCTGTGGGTCATAACCTTCAGAGGAGTCGCCATCCACCAACGGCTCACACAAAGAAGGAAAAAGGAAAACAGAACAGAGCAAGCAACATGTTGGAAACTTGCAAAGTATGCGATTCACACGCCAAAGAATCTCTCAACCGTTGCTTTTTTTTTTTTACAGAACCGTTGCTTTTAAGATTGCGCCATTTAAGGAAAAAAAAAAAAAAGAAAAAAAAAAAGAAGAAGATTGCGAGAAAGCCAAACAATTGTGGAGTGACATAGAAATAACCTGGAACAAACACTCCAACAGATCTATCATAATCAAAACCCGGATTCCCGGTACTACATTCACGGACAAAGAACAATCCGCCCCTTCTTCTCACTTATCAGAAAAGGGACCCTCTGGGCCATCTGGAGAAGGAGATGCGCACTAACCTTCGAAGATCCTAGCACTAACCCTGAATCAGCACGTGTTGCTCCCCACGAATAGACTGGAGCATTTGTTTTCAAAAAAAAAAAAAAAAAAAAAAAAAAACCCTGAATAAAAATCCTCTCATCATCATAAAAGATAAACCAGATAGTGGAAACTGAGACCCACGCA